AATATTGCGGTAAATTCTTGACATCTTTTACTACAACTGCTAACATTATGACAGGCAGTAATTAGCATTTTCCTCAGCTCATAGTTCTAGGACGCCTAATCGAAATCTTTTCTCACTCAAGAATTGTTCACATCTGAGGCAGGAAGATGTACATCTGTGAGCCCTTGCTTCAACGTGACCAATGCCTCTTGAGTATGTTCGTTAGAGCATTACGCCGCACAGATGCCCTTCAGTGTCCGACGCATGTTTTCTGGAATTCCGTCGCTAATCAGTGCTCACAAGCTGATAAACATTATTCAACTTCGGTTTTGCAATACCGGTGCTCCTCCATTGCCTTGGTGGTAATTAGCAACTATTGTTTCAGAGCCTTATAGACTGTTGTTATATACTGCTTTGCGTAATTATACGCCCATATGAAAGTGTTTGACCAATATCAATAATACCTGAGTGTCAACACCAACTTCTATTCCGGTGATACGATTACTTTTTATTCTCATTTTTTAGAAAGGCCATCATGCCGATTTTGCGAAATTACAACTTCACCGTGTTTCTCAGTTGAGCTTCATTTTTTGTGGTTGAAAAGCTCTCTTAGGGTTTGTGTGCCATAAGGGTTATATTGAAGAAATGTGGTTTGTTAAGTGCCGGAAAATACAACCTCTGTTCCGTAGTTCGTACCAACGCAGTTGCGGAGGGTCTGTTCGGTGACAGCGGCTTATTACAACAAATCTAGGTATATATTCAAAAATCTGCAGAGCAGAAGTCACAGAATTCAAGAATATTTATGAATTACATCGTAAGGCCATATACAGGGTGGCTACTAAATATTGGCGCATGGATTGTTGACCATATTTTTAAAACGAGAAGCTTTTACATCTTCAGAGGTTTATCTTTATATACCTTATAACATGGCAGTACATTGCTGAAGAAGTGCTCGAAATGGCCTCCTTCGGCAGCGATACAGGCTTCAAGTCTCTTCTCAACTGACATCACTGTGGGCCGCAAGTAGCTGACGTCAAGCTCCTTCCACGCCTCCTCCAAGGAAGCCTTCAGGAGTCCAAACTTCGACGTTGCTCAGAAGGCATCTTCTGCTTCAAGAAGCCCCACACCGCCAAATCAATTGGTTCAAATCGGGCGACTTAGATGGCCAAACATTTTGTGCCCGGTAACTTGGAAAATGACGGTCACAGTTCTCCAACATTGATTTTGCGGCATGTGGAGGCGCCCTGTCTTGCTGAAGAAGAATGCAATGACGTTCGCTGAAGGTCAAAAGAGTCCTTGGAAGAAGGGCATACGTGAAAATTGTTTCCGGGTAGATCTGGGCGCTGGCTTTGATGTATTCATCCACAAAGACAAGCGGTGTCATGGTTTCAGAAGTAATTCCTGCCCAAACCATGACAAATTTGAAAAACGGTTCCTTGTGTGTACACAAGGTCGAGCAGAATGTCTGCTAGCCAGATCCAACAACTGCCTGTCGTTTTGCAAATCGTGCGCCACTTCTGGTCTGAAGATCTACTCACGTCACGCCGACGTCAGCTACTTGCGGCCCACGGTGATGTCAGTTGAAAAGAGACTTCAAGCCTGTATCGCTACCAAAGGAGGCCATCTCGAGCACTTTCTTTGGTAATGAATTTTCATGTTTTATTGTATATGAAAATAAACTTCTGAAGATATGATAGCTTCTCTTTTTGGAAATATGATCAATAAACCATGCGCCAATATTTAGTAGCCACCCTGTATTTGTTTCAAGTGACAAATATCTTCACTTTAACGTGAAAGATGCAAATGTCAATGTTTTCAGTGGGACTGGCAATACGCTTTCGAAAAATCTACGCCGGCAGAAAACGATAACCTTGGATTTCCGTACGATTACGGTGACATTATGCATTACCCCAAAGACACGTACGTTTGCATATATATAATATATGTCTGAGGTCTCAGCTTATATCTACGCTATTACGGCGTACGATGTACACTATATCCGTGTTGTTGAGAAAACCTAGAGTTATCGTGATTAAATTCGAAATGTTTCTTATGTGTATCAGTGGAACAATCAACGGAAAGCCGACAATAGAGCCGCACGACGCGATGTACACGCAGACTCTTGGGTCTCCAATTATTTCTTTCAATGAGTATTCCATGATGAACGAACTCTACGGATGCAAAGGTTTGACTTCTCTTTTCCTCAAAACCAACTAAACCCCACATTCACATGTGCTCACCCATTCGTACTGTCTAATTAGAATGATTTTGTGTTTAATCGCCCATAGCGGATTTACTTGGATGGTCGTTTCAGATTAATAGCTAATTTCATATTACAACCAATTACGTATCAGGTTATCAGAGAAGTTGTGTCAATTTCTTCCGAGTGAAGTTTTCCTGTAAGAACATAATTTCACATAATGTCATATATGGTCAAGGAAATCGTTCACGTTATAAACACCTTTCTACGCTATGAAATAAATGAACCAGAAGACGCCCATAAATTATATGTTGTAAGGGAGGAGAAATAGTGCAATTAGGCAACGTACCCTCAACCTCTTGTATTTTCAATCTAACAGAGAATTATCGCCTGATGCTACACTGTACTACATACGAAGCTCTCCCCAGTGATCCAAACTAGTTAATCTTCATCAAACCGCATCTTTCTTTTCCGCAGAAAAATGGTTTTGTTCGGTCTCCTCGACCGGTGCGACCTTTCAATGTCGATGGGTTCGACACCGCTTAACTTCTCATAAGCTCCCTAACCCATTTTTATGCACGAAGCGTAGGAGATTCAGCATAGTTCTGTGACTCCAGTTACCGGGTTATAGCCATCGGGCATAATTCTGTTTTTAGCATTCTTCTTTTAACATTTTCAAAAGTAGTGTCGTCATAAACTGGATAAGTTGTTATGTGATCTTTAGATTCTACCAGAATGACAACAACGAGAAAAAATAATAACATATGTTTGAATAGGGCAATTAATACGCTCATGAATGACGCTTCATGGGTAAAGCGAAAATAAGGATTTATGTGAAATAATCTTTGTTTAGAAAACAACTACAACGGTATATCGTAAGGTCGAAAAAGTGTATTTTCCAAAAAGAAGGAATACGCTTGTTAAAGATATCAATATTGCACTGTTGAGCAGAACACAGTGCTAAATACATGGTAAATCATCGACTAATTTCCTTTGGAGGAACGTAGAGCTTGAGTTAGTTGCCGGTTCAGCTACTTTTCATCTCGGAAGCTTCCCAATTTGTAAGTCTGTGATTGAGTCAGTTAAAAATATTCATAGAGAAATTACAGTGCACTTCATACATGTGAGATCTCAGGATGAACATTAAAAAGAGGAAAAACTGCCATACAAAAAAAGTGATACTACTTAACGGTCAACTTAAAACATCGTTCAAATTTTATTTATTCTTCAGTATGACTGACGTTTTACAAAAGCACCCAAAACGTGATTGCATCACATATTCACACTAGTCTTTTAAATGCTTATTCCAGAACGTTGTCAACCAGACACCTCGGCCAAGTGTGAGATGGGCGGATTTCCTCATCCGCGAGACTGCTCGAAATGCATATGTCCCTCTGGTTACGGCGGAAAGCTATGCAACGAAAGAGTAAGAAACCAATAAAGTTCAAAACGAGTCGTGCGCGAAAGCCAGATGGGTGCCAGATGAGTCTGGTTGGCAAGAAGTCCAAAAAGCTGATAAGGAGACTTCCAATCGCTAAAATTTCCGCTGTAAAACCGTCGCAGGGGTTAGCCTTTACTTGCTTTCTGGAGTGTCGCTACTAAGAAATTCCTCTGGCCTTTTAAGTCACATCCCACTCGTTCATTTCCTCCTAATCTATCCCTCTCAAACATTCCGTCTATACATCACGGATGCAGAAGGTTAAATTCGATGTTTCCTTAGCATCACCTTACATGTAACCTCCCTCCCCCCACTACGTCTTTTGTTCCACGCGCTCTTGGCTTTGTCCATGTGTTCAAGGTTTAGATTTTTCTTTTCAATAGCCTACTTCTATTCATATTTGGATTCAAAAAACTATTTTTCTATGCATGAACATTTCAGTACTTGCACCTAGCGTAATTCTGTGGGAGAGGAACCCAACACGTTACTTGTACGATACCTTTGAGTGTGTAGAAAGTATCAAAAACTACTATTTCAGCCATCAGGGTGCGGCGCAACACTTCAAGCTACTTCAAACTGGACGACTCTCACGGATACTTTTAGGCGCAGCTTTGATGATCCAAATGATTTTAGGATGTGCAACTACTGGATTACAGTATGTACTATGCTCCATTGAAACCCTTTCATAAGTGATAGAATTGGGATCGCCAATTTTTTCAGATACTTTACTGCTCTAGTACCTCGCTAGCTACATAGCAATGGCATGCTCACCGTTTCACATCACAGAATAATAAACCTGAATGTTCCAGTCTCCAAGTGGAACAACAATCGAAGTGAAGGTAGTGAAATACCCAGGGGGTCATTCTTCTTCCGGATGCAAACAATCTGGTTTCGAGATCAAAACCAACAAGGATCAAACACTCACTGGCTACAGGTACAAGTTATGTAAGCATTGTGGATTAAAAAAGCAAAGAAATAAGTGTGGTAGCAAATTAAAGCATTTTCACAAAAGAGCAATCCGTGTTGATCGCCTCAAACTTTCCGGGACGCAACACTGTGTCCAAGCGCAACAATTTTTTATCTGAAAAATTGTACGTTCACGAAGAAAGAAACCGCTGCTTTTTCTGATTTTCAACTTTTTCCTTTCACTAAATACTTCACTTAACACTCCGCTAATAAACCGCACAAAACTTATTCGAAAGGGCTACGATAGATTGAAAGTGAGTTGAAGGTTCTGCTCTGAGGACGCTGGAAGAGTGCTTCGTTCTTCCACAAATCGCGTTCCAATAATCACGTATAACCGAGCTCATTGGGATTCCATAACGGCAGTGTTCGAGTACAGATATGGTACTAGTTTTCCGTTTTGTCAGATGGAATTAATTTAATGAACCAAAGCAATTTAGTTCCCGCACGTCCAGATGCATGATTGGTTCTTGCAGACGTCTTGTCAACTAGCAAGATGACACTGTGTTGAAATCACGTTGCATTTGCTAATCTGTTTCTACTATGATAAAGGTTTTTAATGATGTATGTAGTTCAGTTCTTCATTACCTCAATATCTTCGAATCATTTGTCTATATGGGATGCATTTTCAATGACGTAGCTACCGCAGCTATTCTTGTGCGGTTTTCGCGATACTTTTGATCCTGCTTTTTCGTATGTGGCATATGTGAAAAGTTACATACGGCTTTACGGATAAGCAGAGAGATTTCAAATTCGTAATATTTCAGGAGAGGGATCGCGAATAAAGTACTCCCAAATCACGCACTATTTCTGATTCTTTGAGTTCTGTATCACATATCGAAAAGGTGACATTCATTGAGGCGTAGGAACCTAGCCGTAAAAATGTTGTCTTTTCAAGGGAAATGTCGAGCTTCAATCTTGTGACCATTTGGAAATGGAATCTAGCGCTTGCTGTAATAAGTGGAGTTGATCTAAGCAAAAGATTTGACATCATCAGCGTATATCCATATCAGTTCTAGCGTATATCGGTAGCGTATAGCTTATGCTAGCGTATATCTATATCAGTTCCATAGATTCGGGAACGCACACCTTGAGATTAGATTGAGAACAACGGTTTGTTTTCTGTTGGAGAGAAATGACTTCAAAAAGTTATGAAGACAGCCAGAAACACCTAACTGTCTTAATTTTGGCAAATAAATGGGAGAGCGGTATGGAATCAAAAGCCTAGAGAAGTCTATATATGCTATAAAAACCGACTTCCTCTTATCAATAGCATTTTGCCATATAGGAATAGATGAAAGGAGCGCAGAGGAAGTGTTATTTTTTTCGGAAGGAAACCGTGTTGACACGGGCTTATCAGATTATTAGAAATGAGAAACTCTCTGAGCTTGCAATAAATGATTCGCTCCATATAACTTTGCTGAGTGATGTCGTGAGGCATACAGGTCTGTAATTCTTCACATAACTTCTGAGAAATATATAGGGGAGGGCGTCAGGATCGGGGAGAATCTCCCGAGAACTGGAGGCTTGGCCCTTTCCCGAGAGTTTTCGGGGAGAGCATACCTTACCAGGGGTCCCTCTTCTGTTCGGAGAGGCATACCTCAAGGGCCCTGTTGTTTTCAAAATGGGGCCGAGGAAGTGGAGAAGAGCTCGAAGGAAGGCTTTGTGAAATCATGAAGGCGGTAGCTAACGATAAGAGCCAGACTGGAGAGATAATGGGAATGAGGAGAGGCGAGACAGTCAGACGAGGGATTGACAATAGTTTTCATGGAATAACTTATTGTCATTTCAAGCATATTAGTAGGTATACACATGGTTAGACTCGCCACAGAGAGGCGAGTCTATTGTTTGAATATCTTTCCATTTTACCCGCTTTCAAGGAAAGCATAATGGTGCGACGCTACAGAACGCGTAAATGTTACAAAGGTTAGGGGCAGTATTGTACTTGTGGCAGTTCCCCAAAGGTAGTTCAAGCCACGGCACATTTGCATATCGGACGATAACTTGCTTTTGTGTAGTGTACGTGCACACCTGAACAAATTGTTTTAGGATAACAACGCACATTCATATGCGACACATTTTACACGACTCTAGCAGTGAATTACTGCCGTCATTGATTTGCACTTTGCATTTTTGCACTCCCTTCATGGTTTGCATAGCCATTGGCTTCCATCAAAAACCAGTCTAATGAATAGAGGGTTTAAGGAAAAGGAAACTCTCAACAGATGTAGCAGCAGATTTATGTGAGCATCCGTTCGATAGTCAATCTAACCTACGGATTGGACACATTTTCTGACAAGATTAACATTTGAAGCGAGGGATTATGATGAGATGGGGTTAAGTTATCTAGTGGGATTAGGGATGGTGTATAAAGTTCCAGGGCCAAAAAAGCGATGAATTCCGTTGAAAACATGCAGCGTGAGACTCCCCCTTTTGCTCGTTGATCACCCGTCAGCAGAAGAATTCAGGGACGTATGGACACGGAGGAATCCCTTGCATTCTTTTCTCAACATGAATGTATCAGTTGTGATCACTAGATGCAATACACAAAGTTTCACGCATGATGGTTCGGTTTCCGAAGAG